ACAAACATATTCAAGAATATTGGAGAGCACACAGGGAAAGTTACGAAAACTTAGCCATAACCGAACACCTTGAGGGAATGAGTCACTGGGCTTGCAGACTTAGGACCACAATCTTGGGGAATATCTAAGTCAATTGGTGCAACATGGTCCACAAAGGCAATGTTCTATATCTTACTCTGGTGAGTAGTGACTGGGGTCTTAAGAGCTTGTGAGTGGCCATCTAAGATGCAACTATAGGTCTCTCCTTGTCTGGAGCAAAGAAGAGTAAACAAAATCAAAGACTCAAGGAAATAATTAGCCCAAAGAGCTGCTCCATGGGGTTTTCTTGGTTGGAATCTTAAGGAAGCAGGTCACTAGGCCTTTCTTCCACAGTGCTGCTGAGCAGGTTTGAATCACCAACCTTCAGGTTAATAGTCAAGTGCAAACCATTTGCAACACCCAGGTACTCACCTAAGAGCCATCCTGACATTACCTCTTGATGCGTATTATGGTGGAGACAAAGAGCACCTCATTCAAAGATCTGGGTTTGAGTTCTGGCTCTGCTATTGGCCAGGTGATCTCAGGCAGGTCATTACCTCCTCTGAGCCTCTGTAGCCATATTTGTTACATGAAGATAAATAATGCCAGTCCCAGAGTTGCTGGGAAATTCGAGATGATGGATGTGAAGGAACTTAGAATCCAAAATAATGTTACTTGGAAACGTTTTATTATTCATCACTCTGTAAGGGGCTCCTGGGGTTGTCACGGGGCAACTACCAAACTCACACAGGAGATGAGACTGTCTAGCAGATTGGGGAGATGAATGAGTTTGGAGAAATTGTCATTTTATCTGGAACAATCTGCAGGGAGGTCCTGCTTCCATGTCTTGGACCAAGCCCTGCTTTTCTCCTCCAATTCGACTAAAGGTGCTGCTAGTATCCATGTGGGTGGCCCAAGGGTTCTGAGCTGCAAAGCAAAGGAATACTCCCCAGATGGCACTAGCAAGGCAAGAGCTAAAAGAGAAGTTGTGCCGTTTAGGGAAGCCAAGTGGGCCCCTCTGCTGAATGCTTGTAGGGTGTGAGACACCAGTCTCCCTCATCTACAGACTGAGGGCAAGCAGGAACTCTTGTCTCTGCACCCAACAAATGCTCATACAGACTGAGTTCTATTCCAGCCACAGGCCCTGCTTACAGCAAGACAGTTTGCTCCACTTCCAATAAGTAAGTTCTAAGAGGTCAAAGATTTCTCAATAGTTCCATTTAGAATCAATTATTTTGGAATTGAGGGACCACATTTCCCAAGTGAAAGTACTTCATTTATCAGGGCAAGTCTGGACTTTTCAGCTTTGTTCCAGGCTTGGAGGATGGCAGGGAACCCCCAGCCTAACCCATTCTCAATGAGTTTTTCTCATGCCATTTTCCTTTGAATAGAAGAGGCAGGAATGAATGAAGTTGGCTCCAGTTCGGGTTGGAAAGCTTCAGGCTGTTCCTGAGCTCTGTTACACAGTTTGAAAAGTGAAACAACCCATATGTGGCCAGGCTTGTCTGCAGAACCCTGGCTGCCAATAAGGGGCCTGTGATTTCTAAGTAGGAGGGTGGTGGGTGCAGGGGAAAGTGGGATGAGCAAGGAGGTGGGCCTCTCTGTTCTCCATCCCCGACATCTCGCCACCATTTTATATACTGGGAATTCACTTAAGTTTACAAACCATGAATAGGGCCTATGTGTCAAGGAAGAGATGTGCACAGTTTCAGGGAGAGCCTGAACTTGCTCCTGACAATGTTCCTTAGTGGCAGAAACAGAAAAGGGTGGTGACATTTCTAGACCTTCTGGATTCAGAGTGGAAAATCAGGAGCAGATTTGGAAAAAAGAATTCTCTTCTTCAAATCAAAATTCAGTAAAAGAACAGATCTTGTCTTCTCTCTGGAGACTGACTCCCTGAAAAACAGGATAAACACGATGATGAAGAGGCTGACTCTGGGATCAGATGAGCCCCTGAATCCTGAATCTTAACCACTCCTGCTCTGTGTGACCTTGGGCAGGTTACCTAGATTTTCCGAGCCCTCTTGTCCTCACCTGCTACATGGGGATGATGACATTGCCTACCTCCCAAGATTCTGGTGAGGATTAAGTGAGTTGAACACAGGCCAAGCCCTTCCAATAGGGCCTGGCACCAATGAGCCATTATTATTATGTTACCTATTAATTTGTTGGAGTCCCTGGTGGTACAAATGGTTATCACATTTGGCTGCTAACCAAAAGGTTGGAAGTTTGAGCCTACCCAGAGGCACCTCAGAAGAAAGGTCTGGTGATCTCTTTCTGAAAAAGCTAGTCATTAAAAGCCCTATGGAGCACAGTTCTACTCACACACACGGGGTCGCCAGGAGTTGCATTTGACTTGACAGCAACAATTTGTTTGCTTTTACTGGTTATTTTGTTAATGAGCCAGCGTCTCCATATGCAGTCGGGTTGAATCATTGTTGTGTCAGGATGCACCTTAGTTGAGTGGGTGGACCCAGGACTTTGAAATCAAAGAAAACAGACTTGGGCATTTATTTATTTTAGGACTTTGGGAAAATTTACTTAACCTCCTTATACTTTGATTTTCCCATGTGTGAAATTAGGATAAAAATAGAACCTACGTTGAGGGTAATGAAAGAAAAAAAGCTCATTGAAGTCAAGTCAATTCTGATTTGTAGTGACCCTACAGGGGACAGGGTAAAACTACCTCATAGGGTTTCCAAGGCTATAATATTTATGGGTAGGGAGCCCTGGTGATGCAGTGGTTAAAGCACTTGGCTGTTGACCAAAAGGTTGGTGGTTTGAACCCGTCAGCTGCTCCGTGGTAGAAAGATGAGGCAGTCAATGTCCGTAAAGATTTACAGCCTTGGAAACCCTATGGGGGCAGTTCTACTCTGTCCTATAGGGTCACTGTGAGTCAGAATTGACTTGACAACAACAGGTGTGGTTTGGCTTGGTTTTGGACTCTGTACAGAAGCTGACTGCCACATCTTTCTCTAGTGGGGCTTCCGATGGAACCTCTGAGCTGTCAGGTAGCAGCCCAGCATTTAGCCACCCTGTCCATTTGAAAGTGGGTTTTCTTTGTTATGTTAATGAGTCAGTATTACTGTAAGGTGTGTTTTAAGTCAATCTCTTTTGAGATATAAAAGAGAATGAACAACTGAGCAGAGAGGGAAATGGGAAAGATATATGCCAAACCAGGAAGCAGGAACCAGGCAGCAGAAGCTAAAGAGACAAGAACCTTCCACCAGGGCTGACAGAGAGACAGCATGCCTTCCCGTAGAGCCAGTGCTCTGAATTTGGCCACCTCCTAAACTGTGAGAAAATAAATTTCTGCTTGTTAAAGACACGCACTTGTGGTGTTTCTGGTATAGCAGCAGCAGAGAACTAAGACAATCACTGTTTACTGAATACCAATGTACAAGGCTCCTGGAACACGTACCACAAAGTCACTGAGGGGACTGAGCGGGCTGATGGATGCTGGTTCTGGCTCACAGTCAATGCCCAATAAGTGTTGTTATTTTTGGCCTATAAGCAATATCAAGTGTGAACTTACCAGCAATTACAAGGCTTACAATTAAAAGCACATATATATAAACTATTAACAAGTACTTGAGAAACATTACAATCCTGACTTTCATAAACTAAAGGGCCTGTGTGCCTCATTCCTTTGGACAGGAGCTTCTGTGAAGCCTGCACCAGCCATGCTGAGGCTTTGAGACCAGTCCTAAATGGATCTCTTCACTTAGACATGGCCAATGAGTCCTTGGGTGTGGTTTATGTTTTGTTTACTTTACACAGGGACCTCAAACAAAATAATTTTACTCTGTTGGCAGGTATTTCCTTATCAGTTCCTTTTCAAATGCTCTTTTACTGTTTTCTAGCATTTGTTCAGTCATTCAACAAATATGTATGGACTTGCCTGCCAGGCACTGTTGCAGGTGCTGGGGATACCGCAGTACTGGCATTGCTCGTGAGGTTGTCATGGTGGGGAACAATATTTCACCCCTCCTCCCACTTCACAGAAGATTGTAAAATGTCTGAGATCAGGGCCTGCAGCGGAGACTCTTCCTTCTGCTCCTTTCTTAAATACACGGCATGGAGCACATCTTGGCATGGGCAGTAACAAGTTGCCGTTGAGTCATCTCAGACTCATGATGACCCCGTGTATGCCCGAGTAGAACTGTGCTCCCCAGGGTGCTCTAAGGCTGATTTTTTGGAATTGGGTTGCCAGGCCTTTCTTCTGAGGTGCCTTGGTGGACTCCAACCTCCAATCTTCTGTTTAGCAGCCGAGCATGTTAACTGTGTGCAATATCTAAGGACTCCAGGAGCGTGCAGTATGCCCTCCAGAAAGGCTTACACTTTCTGATGGCTCATTGTGTACCAGGCATTATTCTAAGCACTTACATGTATTATTTCCTTTAATCTTCACAGAAACCCTATGAAGTGGACATTATTTTTATTCTCACTTTACAAATGAGGAAATTGAAGCACAGAAAGTTTAGGAAACTTGAGAAAATTCCTGGAGCTAGCAAGTATTTGAACCCAGGCCACAAAGTTCCTCATGTCATCCCACCCAGATTGTCCACGTTTGAAAGTTTGTACTGACACCACTTTCAAATTGAGTGTGGGGCTCAGAATCTTGGCCTCTGGCCCAGGCTGGCATTGTCCCTGGCTTTAGTGTTCTTGGGTGGCCCTGTGTACTAGGCAGAAAACTGCACATCTGGGACAGATCAAGCTCATCCCCATGAATTTGTGCACTTCCTGAGTCACCTTGTTTACCTCGATCAGTCAGGCTCGGGTACAACAACTCAGTTGAGTTTGCTTCTACAGCAAAACAGAACATGTGTAAGAAATCTGACAAGCTATCAAGTGCATGTGCCCTTGAGACTAAGATGAAACAAAATCTAAATACAAAAATACTAAAAAATAAAAAGGTGTCAAGCTGAAGGTCCTTTCACCTGCTGGGGACACTGGTTTTTACACTCAAGTCTCTTCTCAGGTCACAGAGCATCCCTGTCAAAGGCAGAAACCAGATACCTACTTTCATTTGCAAGGCTGGCACTGGCCGGTGCACGACTTGAGGAGAAATAGATTTTCTTATCTAGAAAAGAAGAAAAAATCATGACAGGAAAGGAAATGGGCTCAAGTGTAGCAAGGATCGTGGAGCTAGCGTGGGACTGGGCAGTGTTTCGTTCTGCTGTGCAAAGGGTCGCTATGAGTCAGAAACGACTCGATGGCACCTAGCAACAACGACAACAAGGAAAACAGAGCCCATTGCCATTGAGCTGGCTTCCAAACAACGTAACCTCCTGTGTGCCAGAGCAGAGCTGTGCTCTGTAGGGTGTTCTGGTCGTGATCTTCACAGAAGCAGGTCACCACGTCTCTCTCTCACAGCACCACCAGGTGGGTTCGGAGCACCAGATTTTAGGTTCGGGGTTGAGCATAATTTGTGCCTTTCAGTGACCTCAATAGTACCCCCATAAACCAAACTCATTGCCATCCAGTGGATTCTGACTCAAAGCAAGTGACCCTATAGAGCAGAGTAGAACTGCCCCATAGAGTTTCCAAGGCTATAAATCTTTACAGAAGCAGGCTGCCTCATTTTTCTCCCACAGAGTGGCTGGTGGGTTCAAACTGCTGACCTTTTAGTTAGCAGCTGAGTGCTTAATCACTGTACCACCAGGGCCCAAACTGCCTGGCCCTCAGTTTATGGAGACCTGGTATATTTTCTCTATCAGAGGCTACAAAGATAGAGAAGCTTCTGTTTGGAAGCTCCTTCAGCCATGTTCCCCTCTTACAGGCAGTGTTTCTGATGAGGAGTTGCTGACTTCCTCAACCGATTCTGGCCAGCAAGTCACCAATTAGTGCAACAGGCATCAACGTGAGTAGGAGAAAGTGGAGAGTTCCCAGCATTCAAGACCTTGGTGATCAACATTGGTTTGCGAATGTGCCTTGAGGTTTCAGGAACAGGATATTACCTGCATTATCCTCTCACCATGATGTGCTTGGCAATAGCAGACACTCACTAACTATTTGCTGAGTTGAAGTTGAGCTGTATAGAGTGGTTGTGTTTGGGAGGCAATGCTTTGGGCTATCTGTGTTCTAAGCAACTGTTGAAACAGGGTTTTACTGTCTGTCTACCTGCACAGGACATATGCAACTCGCTTGCCCCATTTTCCCTCTGAATCCAATCAGAGCAGACATTTTTATGATTCACTCATTAAGTACATACCTAATCAAACTTCAGAAATGACAGAGTGGTATGTTAATGGGAAATTAGTTGTCAACGTTCGGATGGTGCAGAGCGGTGATAGCTAGGCTGTGCTGAACAAGCCCTTTGGGCGCCTCGTGCTCAGTGCAGAAAAAAGGCACCTTCCAGGAGTCAACTTCAGCTATCAGAGACTACCCATAAAACCCTCTGCCCTCAGGTCGATTCTGCCTCATAGCAAACTTATAGGCAGTGATAGGTTACCCAATAAGCAAAGTAGGCACCGGGTTACTTGTGCTTACTTATTAATCTGTAGTGAACAATTTCACATTTTTTTTTCACCACCTCAAAGATTCTGCTCCTAGGGATGGCTGGCATCTGTCTCTCTCCCAAGCCCACAGCACCTTCCTACAGAATCAAAGCCTCTTTTCAAATTGTAATCCCAGACAGGGATGGAGTACCCAGTAAGGAAGGTAGCACAGCCTTACTTGTGCTAAATTACTCATCTTTAGTGAACAGTTTCACATGCTTTCACCACATCTTTGAACTCATGTGAAATTGTTCCCTACACATTAGTAAGTAAGCACAAGTAAACCAGTGTTTACCTTGCTTATTGGATAATCTAGCTCTGCTTATAGGACAGAGTAGAACTGCTCCATAGGGTATTCAAGGCTGTAAATCTCTATGGAAGCACCCTGCCACATCTTTTTCCCGCAGAGTGGCTGGTGGGTTGGAACCGCCAACCTTTTGGTTATCAGCCAAGTGCTTAACCACTGCACTGCTAGGACTCCTTTGGGAGACTAGAGCCACAGATATGTATGGTCTGGGGAGCTGCAAAAGAACATTCATCCAGACTACAGAATGCAAGAGGAAGCTGACTTGGCCCCATGAAACTATAAAATATATATTATCACCAGCATTACATATGAAAGACAAATCTTACAGCAGAGTGGGTTGTTGTTTTGGTGATACCATAAGTCAGGCTGATTCTACCCTCATCCATTTACAAACAAAACCAAACCTAATCCACTGCCAGCAAGTCAATTCCAACTCATAGGGACCCGTATTGGGTTTCCAAGGTGGTAAATCTTTATGGAAGTAGATTGGCCTATCTTCCTTC